TGAAATAAAATAAATGTAGTAAAGTACTTAATTCTATCAGTACACAAGCTCACTTTAGTTTGGTACTTTTTTTATCTATGCGCTTATGCGATGACAGGAGATCAAGATACCCAGAACCATAACTTTAGATCAGGTCACCATGGCAAATTATCGCAATGGTTTCCAGGAGCATAACATTACTAACAATCCTGGTCACCCCTAGATTGGGGCTAGATGGCGCTGTGTGAATTGTCCAGGCTTATAATATAATTTATATACTAGCTTTTTCGCGACTTTGTCGGCGTGGAATTTAACTTTATTTTTCTAAAATAAAAGTAATCTAAGTTACCTACTCCTTATGCTACCTGCCATTAAAAGTCCCGTCAAAACCGGTCCAGCCATTTCAGAGATTAGCCGAAATAAACATACAGACAGATATACAAACAAAAATTGTAAGTAATGTTATTCTGGTGTATGTAAGTACCGTATTTATATTCATATGCATAAAGTATAAAACGGTTATTTCAATATTACAAAGAAACACTCCAATTTTATTTATGACTAGCTCACCCCCGCGAATTCGCCCGCGTGGAATTTAACTTTATTTTTCTAAAATAAAAGTAGCCTAAGTTACTCCTTATTACATCAGCCACCTGCCAAAAAAAGTACCGTCACAATTCGGTCCAGCCATTTCAGAGATTAGCGGGAACAAACAGACCAACAGACAGAAAAAAATATAAAAAATGTTATTTTGTATATGTACCATATATATATTCACATGCATGTAGTAAAAAACGGTTATTTCAATATTACAAATAGACACTCCAATTTTATTTATATGTATAGATTGTTATAGGTAAATTACATAGAAAACTGTATCTGTCTTCGCTGTCTTGAAGGAGGAACGCATAGGTGAAAAACTATATCACAAAAATATATCATATTACCCATATAATATATTTTTGTGATATAGTTTTTCATTCATGACAACATTATTTCATCTCCGCCACTCAACATATGTAGGTATAAGGAATAAAAGAAGTTCAATTAATAAAACAAATATATTTCATTATGAAATTAATTACCAACAAATCCATTTTCAACACGTTTTCAAACCATTTTTCAATTATAATAGGGAAAATGTGCCTTTTTTAAAGTGCCAAATATTTAATATACTAAAAAAATATAGTTACCGTTAACGGTGAGATCATTGTGATATTTAAAAAACACATTACTTACATAATTAAATTGAGAACAACAACCGAATTGTTCTACAATAATTCGGTAACTATATTTTTATAGATGAAAATTTTACGCCTAATGGTAATACTACAACACACATATTTATTGCACATTTAGAAATTTCGTAAAGTATTTTTGTCTTTTTTTTTCTTATTTTTAGAGATCCAAGACATTTACTATAATTTTGCACATCGACAATGAAATAATATACACAATAGCTTTAAATTTAGATTGTGGTATAATACACATCCAAAATATGAAACTATGCCTAAGTTAGTTTGGACAATGGACAAGACATTAAAAAATAAATGGACTGTTTGTAAAATTACTGTCAAATAAAAATCATGAAATAGTTAAAAGTTAATCCATCACTAAAAATATAAAACAGGACAATATTTTCAACAATAATAATCATCTGAAATATACAAGTAAAAAAAATATATTAAGTTTGCATAATAACTATTAACTTTGTGTACCTACTATCAACATTCATTCTGGATAAATGACTTGAACTATTTTACAAATGAATACATATTTTAACAGAATAATATATGAAAATGTTACATATACATAATTATAAACAATACAGTTTAGTGCCTATTTTTATAGTTCGGTACAATGTCAATAGAAAACTCATAAAAATATTGCCTTAACGGACTTATATTGTAACATTGTAAGAAAGTTATACCATAATATTACAATATTATAAATACAATTTACTCCAAGACAATTTTATTATTAATAAGGCCATAAAATAACTTTATTCAATACATACACATTTATATATTGAATTCCTAACAACCTCAATGACGAGTTGAAACCTAACGAATTTCACTATCTAGCTGTGTCACTTCGTCGTGATTACGATAATATAAATCATTTGCCTTATTAATAAAATTGCAATAAAACTTGGACGAGTAATAAAGTAACATTTAAAACTTCTAAATTTATAGAACTCTCACCACCGTGTTGATGGTATTTGGTCGACTTTAATCTCATAGAAGTAAATAATACCTATTTCAGATTCACATTTTAAAAATTCAGATAAATAATACCGAATATCATCGAAACATTTACCTTAATTATTAGTAGCTTTGGTTTCTACGAGATACGTTCGACCAACCATGAACTTTTAAAATACTGGATAAAATAAATCCTTACATAATTACCTAAACCAAATTATTGCTGTATGTGTAGGTAGATATATAAATGTAATGTGACTATATTTATTAACTATGGAAGCTTCAATAAATAAAATGTCTCTGAAGAACAGTTTCTATCACATATCATTACACTTTGTAGCACCACGCTGTTAATAGACCCATCTACAATCTACACTTACCACTATTCTTGTATATGGAGATGTATAAAAATCAATACATCTGAAAATAATAATTTGAAGTTGATATAAGTATAAAACATTCTGTATAAGTTAAGTTTAAAAATTAAATAAACTCTCTTATTGTTTTATGAGGATAACTATTGAATCTGTTTGGCTTAAAACATTTTTAAAATAACATCTTATAATATATAATAATTACATAATATTTTATGACTGCGAAACTTCTGGTCAACTTTACTTCTACCCGAAAATCAGTCTATCTACGTTCAAACATCGTTGGCTTGCATGGGTGTGGAGAGACTTCGTACTATCAGACCTTCGTCATTATTCCAACTTATAATAATATCACATTCACAGCACTCACCATCGAATATTACAACTACAAACATTGCCCTAGCTCAGTAAGTAAATAATCATAGTAAACAGAACAAGCCTCCGCAGCGGCTCCCAAACTATTTTATCAACAATATTAAAACTATTAATTCAAATAAAAGAGACAATAATTCCTATTAGAATTTTAAAGTAACTTTTTAAAATATAGTTTAAAGATGGCGTTTCGGCAACCATAGAATATTCTAATAATTAGACAAATACACTAGTTACCTACTACAGAATCGAAAGAGATCATCGCATCAACTTATATTATGTTATTACATTCCATAATTAAGTTTTAGCTTGAGCCGCAACAAAAAGAAATTATTTTTTAAATAAAATTACTGTGCAATTACATCATTCTTACAACTATGTATTTTCCATCTTCCTTCTCGAATCATGCTTTCAGTAGAATGGTTATTTTAATATCAACTATTAGAACTGATAAGAAACAATTTATTATTACTAAATCAATTATTAACTAACTCGTTGGAATTTTTGTCAATGCCAGGCATATCAGTTCAAACTAATTTGAAATAAGACACACAATATTATAATTGGACGGAGATATAAACATGTTTCTTGTGCGTCCTACAGTACATAACCATCCAGCGCACGTCGCTTCCATCTGACACGCACAAATTTTCTCTCACACCAGAGCTCGGAAGTCCTCCGAAATATAAAGTAAAACAAGTGTATAATAAATAATGCCCGTTAAGCTCACAGTCGACGGTAAAACAACATGTCTCATAAGAAAATTATAAATTATCTGTACCCACAACACGAATATTTGTTATAAATTAATGTGACAAATGGAAATTCTTTAATCATAAACAAATCTAGAGTACCATTTTATCCTAATTTATCACATTTGTCCTGGTTAGCACTCGCATATTTACAAACCATCGCTGTGCTCTGTATATTTTTATAATCTGATTAAAATTAAATTATCTATATTATTATAGTTATGTATATTACATGAACAGATAGATATAAAGAATACCACACCAATTTTTAACTCTACGAGAATTCAAAATAATGAACCACTCAAAGCTATCGACTTAACATTTTTGTATAACTTTCTGATACATTCTACATTTTAAATGGTATCAAAATTTTCCAGTGAATACTTGGACAGATGTGAATACTGAATTTGATGTAAATACTTTGAGTGGTTAATGACCTTAAATCTATAAGACACTAAATTACACCACAACATCAAGTAACTACCGCTGATATAATTATAAAAAACAGTCAACATCAATTTTGAATAATATTTTATGTTATATAAATTTAATTCAATGGCAAAATATCTACAATATACACAATCTTAATGTGTATTACGATGTTTATTTCGATGGTATCGTGGTATAAACTTTGTAGGTACAGGCTGGACTCGAAAATTTATATCGTATTTATTAAAATTCCTTGATTATTTCTTAATTTTATAATCAATGGGATAATCTTTGTGCTCATCGATTACTATTTGACAAGTTTCAACATCAGGATTCAAGTTAACCCTGCAGTATAATTAGAGTATTTCAGTAGTAAAAATAATAATTCAGAGTATTGCTTCTCATTTATACTAAGAGTTTTCAACTACCTAAAATTACTTAATATATCCCTCTGGCAAAGTTTTAATAATATTTATTATAAATTTCCAATTCATATTACTATTGTACGTTTTTAACTTTAAACAAATGTCATTAATTACGAATTGTTGGTTCGAAACCGGCAATACTAACTAACTAAAAAGAATTACACTATAAATATATTCGTTCAATATACTACCTGTACCTGGTTATTTCGTTGCATTGACTATTTAAAACTGTAAAAAGTACAAATCGATACGTAACTTACATTAATAAACACTATTGTAATATTTAGTACAAAAAATACTGGCCAACGCAATCCTTTGTGTTCAAAATATATAATAACAATTCATATCCACTTACCCTATGTACTTAATTGACAAGAGTTTAAGTCCGTTTGAATATTTGTTAGTAGTTTAATCGGATGAATAAACAAAGTAAATCTTTTTGAAGTTATATGGATTGTTTGATTACACGAATGTAGAGTACATATAATGTCTACTTGTGACATAATTTCAATAATCATATACAAATGTTATTTCATGTCTGTATGAAAATAAACAACTTAAGTGGGTAAGTTCTAAGGTTTATTGTGGTCCCTATTTATATGTTTAGCATAAACCAAAGATACTTCATATAGGCAATCTGCAACGAGTACTCTAAAGTAAGAAAATATTAAGATATCATCGTTACCGCGGTGGGAATAGCCTGATACATAACTAGTTGCAGAAATAATTCATAACATAGATTAATCACGCAGTACACCTAGGTTAATCACACAGTAAATACCGTGCGACAATAAAAAAAACCGATAAGGTAATAAAGAATAAAGTATTTTACTAATAAATAAAATAAATAATCATTATTTTATTTATTAGTAAAATAATTTAAAGCGGTATTTTTACAAACATTTATATGATTATTTATTATTTTTCGTTGTTTAGATTTCACGCAGTGACTTCATATAAAATACACAATGCAAAATATTACACTCGTGTTCATATACGATAAAGTGGCACCCACATTACCAGTAGCGGCTTTCATCTTTGAAGTATCAATTGGCATACAATATAAACTCAACGTTATTTAGTTTTTTACAACGAAATGTTTTTCAATCCGTTTTGCAACAATTGGAAATTACATTTGGTGTTGGACTTATAAAATTAGACAAGTCAAAATGTTGATATCAAACGGACTTCATTATGGCTATCGTAATCTAAATTATTGCATCAAAGATTACTCTTATGACATACTTAACCACTATTACCTCTATATCAAAAATATATGTACTCGTGTTCGATAAAGATAAAATTCCCTAAAACAAATTGGTGAAATTACTTTTAGCGGTGCAAGGATTTGGTAGCTCCATCAATTTCTTTACATGATGATAATATATAGGTATATATGGGATCATTATTGCAGATATATAAACGTCTACATAATAACAGATACACATAATATCAGAAAATACTTATTGCACTCTTCTATTCAGATTGTGTCTACCTAGTTTATAAGTACCTATAACATGTAAGTTTGGATGGCGTCACCTAGCGATGGAGTTTAATCTTGCTGAACATAGACTGCTAGTTTTATTCTCGAATATCAGTATTAGAGCATTATTAATGTACTTAGATAACGAATTTCTCATGTAACGTATGTATATGAGAATATATATCAAACAAATATGTCCATTGAAAATAAATATATGAACCTATATATCACAATATCGGCAGTTATATTCGTCTTAAAAAGATAAAATGGCCATGTTTTATTGTACTAAGTAGATATCTATGAAAAGATTGCGGGCGAGTATTTTTTACTAAACAGTATCTTATAGAAGAGTAGTTAGGTTTTAATTTGTAAAACAAGTAATAGATTGTTTATAAAGTTAATATTTCTGACGTAGAAATAAACTGAAGGCACACAAGGGTTGCGGTCCGTACAATCATCCTTTTACGTGTCAGCCTCTGCGTCTTCAGAATATCACATCGGTCATCAACAAAAATCTAAAAAAAATCCTCAATTATCTACATCAGTGTTTATCTTTTATGAGGTACATGTTTTGGCACAGAGAGATTTCTTATATCTATAATTACATGTAAACATTAACATTAAGTTAAATTACATAAAACATTTTTTTCGATGTTCTAAAACATGTTTGACTGGTCTTAATCATACGAATCACAGCTTTTTGCATTCTCCTACTTACCTATCTTCTCGACTATCAATTTTCTAGTAAACTTTCAATGGAATGAGTTTTTTAATCTTAAATTAAATCGGCGTACAAAATATGGCTTTAAAATGTAAGTATTTAATATAAAGCAATAAAAACTGGAAATCCAGTAATTATTGCTGTAGAAAAGTATAAATTCTCGCCAATTCTTTCTCCAATAATATATGAATTGCACATGTGAATGTGCGTTCAAATCTTGTAATCAAAATGCAATAAGTAGGTAAACTTAAGCAAAAACAAGTGTGGTAGGTATGCAATTGGAAAAATTGACAATCTGCCATAATCCTTAATCAATTACGATATTAACAGAATTATAAAAAGTGTTACGAGCGAAAATTGCTTCACTGTTCTGTTACTGGCTGTCTGCTCTCGTCATCAACTATTAAAATTATTAAATATAGATAAAATCACTCCAAAAACACAGGTGTGTCATATTGAATAAATCCTGCTTATTTTATTTGTGTAAAGTTTTAAAATATTTTTAAAAAATATTCCCATTTATTGTTATAATATGACTGGGTACTGGGTATTTATTTTGAAGGCATGCCAAGATCAGAAATTGGACGGCGCGGGCGTCAATCAGCGAGTATTGTGTACATGGGTGGTGAGGTGTTTGGAGAGATAGTCTGCCCGCGCGAAGCACTTACCGCATGCCTCACAATGGTAAGGCCGCTCACCAGTGTGGATACGCAGATGACGGGTCAGGTCGCTCTTTCCTCCGAATGCCCTCCCACAGAACAAACACACAAATGGCCGCTCCCCGGTATGCTTACGGACATGTAATTTCAAATTTTCCTTTGACCTTACACATTTCCCACAGAAAGGACACGCAAATCTTCTCTCTCTATCCCTTTGTCTATCATCGTTCTGCATAAATCCAAGGATTCCAGAGTGTGAACTTGAGCTCTCATTTTTACTGCTATCACCCCTCGACTCGCTTTCCGAACTATCTGCCATGGAACTGACACTGGCGAATGAAACAGGGACACGACGTCGTCTTTCTGGCGCCGTATCATCTTCTCGCTTACTGTCACTTTCTGAGTTTCTACATTCGATGGAATCGTCGACTGTCACTATCGAATCAGAGGCGCCATTAGAGTCCACTGTGCTATCTTGCTCCGCGTCCCGCATCAGTTCTATTGGTGGAGTTTTTGCTTCTTCTATTCTATTCTTCTTTTTGATTGAGAGATCCATTTCTCCACACTGTCCTATTAAAGCTTCATTCGTACTAGAAACCTGATCGATACCTTCCGGTGGATCAGTATTTTTCGTATGCAATCTTTCTAAGGTATGATTCAGGCGGTGTTTTTTGAAAGATTTGAGATAACGAAACTGCATGCCGCAGACGTCACACGTGAAAAGCTTGTCAGCTGGGAGTCTGGCTCGGTGGTTTTGTTCTTTATGTTTGACATAGGCAGATCTATACCTGTAACTCTGACCACACTGTTCGCAGACGAATGGTTTGTCATCACATGTGGCTTGTGTAGCATGTTGCAGAGCAGCGTGACGTTCAAGAAGCCATGCAGAAGGGAAGGATGCAAGGCAAACACCGCAGCGACGTCGCTCTGTGTGGAGCAGATGTCGATTTTGGTAGGCCATGCAGTCGTCACTGAGGTATCGTCGTATGCGGCACGCTTGTAGCGCCAATAGTGGGGACCACAAGGGCAGAGCTGTGGGGCTACGAGCCGGTATAGGACTAGGGATACTCTGCGATCCACACGACATATCCAGACACATCTGTAATTAAAGAAGTTTTATTAGACTAATAATTTATATGTGAAAACTCTTTTTATGTATTTGTATACATACCTGTGTGTGGCAGTAATGGAGACGTATGAATTAAATGAAAGAACAGTTCTGTAATGATTGTAGAGCTTTTATTTGTCAAAATTGTATTTTTACAGCTATGATATGCTTATATTTGTTTCAAAAGTTACAATGATCGACAGCGATAGGTCTCTATTAAAAGACTGCTGCACAATTGACGAAACATTACACCATTTTGAACCTCGTCCGTGATATAATATGGTACTGTAACTATTTTTAACAAAACTGTACTGCTCTTTGTTACAACATTATGAACTATTAATAATGATAAGGCAAAACAGATTTTATCTAATCTAAAATGTCAACAATGAATGTTAAATAAACAGCTTAAGAAAAAATCAATTATTGATTTTTCAATGAAGATACAACAACTATTTAAGCTCTATAAATAAAGTGGACCTACGTTATTTGAACTTGTGCTGAATATAGTTTATAGTAGCATAATATAATGTGAATTTCATAATATGAGTATATTTAGAAAATATGTAACTTAACCAATATTCTCCATTGCTATAATTGATAGTTACAAAAATTCTAAAACAATCAATAGTATATGTGCTAATAATTTGCCGTGGGTATATTATTATGCTATTACAAACTTTAATCAAGAAAGTTTTAAACCTAAATAATTTATAATAAACACATTATAATTATTAAAACAAATTGTACCAATATACAATAATTAATACACCTACAGGAACTTAGAAAATTGCAATATAAGTTCTATATTTAGGTATGCCACTTAAAAATGGTAAGTTAAACTACCAGTTTCATTTTCCGCGGCCTGCGGTCACACCTCGATCTTACTGGACGAAAAAAAATATACATCTAAACCGTTAAATTAGAAGTGTTAAGATACAGAAATCAGTAAACGCTGTAAGGTCAAACGTCAGACGTCTGGACTCTACAAAATGATGATGAAAATAAATCTACAGTCATCTACAATCATTGTATGAGTTCACCCGATTGGAATGCGCTAGATACGGAGGTTGATAATAGACATAAATACGACACTACTACATCTGACACCGCGTTGCTGGCTTCTTTCATAAAAAGCGCCCTTTTTGTCATCACAGAACAAAACCAACCAGTTTTTATTATGTTATCTATTCGAATGACATCTAATAATAAACAAGAAATCAAAAAATATTCAAAGAGATTAGGGTTAAAATTGACAAGGATAAATATAGGAATCTACAATAATTTGATGACGTAAAATCGTTCGTAACTCTATATAATATATGTAGTATCCCGCATAAAGCTTAAACGTGTTCTTGGTATCGAGTATCCAATACATATTTTCATTAAAATATGTCTCTGCATAAAATTAAATCTGCATTTGTTCGAAAATCATACAAGTATCCAATATTACAGATATTTGATTTAAATGATTTTTTTTTATTTATGATGGATTTTTTTACTTGGTATATTTAGTTTTATTTAACACTACAATTTATTTTCAAAGAAATAACAATTAGATAAAATAGAAATGATTTTGTGTTAATTGTTTAAGTATTACCTATTATAGTAGATATATTACCTATAATGCCAATTATCAAATTGTTCACATTAAAATATAACGAAACATAGGTATTAAATAAGAAAAAAAATCTAAATTTACCAAGTATAAAAAGAATTTCAGATATGATTTATTCATGGGTTATAATTATTTTCTTAATTTGTATTAAAAATAATTTGATAAATGTAGGTATACTCTATACCTACAGCCAGTTCCAGTTTAGCTTTTATTGGGTAGGTGCTTTTTACAAATGTAATTGCCGATCTGCATGGCTGCAATCAATATAATAATAAATAATAAAGGACAAGTAACCGTGCAAGTCACATATCATAACGCAACTTACAATTTTCACCATAAAAATTACATATGTTCTCTATGCGCTACATATACTATGTATATTCAGTGATTTGCAGCCTTTATATAAGTCTTGTATAGGCAAGAGGCACTCTAAATATAAAACTGTGGTCACAATTTATTATATATATAAAAATGAATCTACGTTGTATCTATTTCAACACATGAAATACTTCGTGCTGGTGTTTTCTTACAAATTATCATGCTCAGTAGGTACTTCGGAAACAATAGTCTACCTACATTTGAAATGTATAATTGTAAATGTATATTAATTATTTTTATTTGTGCTAATGGCGTGTGAACTTCGCAGGGACGTGGCAACAACTGGTAAATGTTAAAATTTGAATAACTGCACTTGAGGGTCATATAAACTATTAAGTATGTATGTTACAAGTCACTAACAACATTCATCACTGCCTATATACAAGAGAATACATAGAAATATAATTCTATTAATATTTAATTAATAAATAGTACCTCTGAAAGTTAGGAAACAAAATAGTATTTCAAACTGCATTCTGTTCTATTATAAAAACTATTTCGATAAAAACTCGTACAAATTTGTTAATTCATATTACTATTAACCATTTAATTATTGCTATTATTTCTGTAAGTTGTAAATATTCAATCTTTCTTAAAACAAGAAGAGGAACATTAATGAAGGTTACAATATTGCTATAAAGTTTGGTAACGATCGACTCCGAAAAATAAAAAGAGTGCAGCTTTTCAAATCGCAACATTCTTATGATTCTTTCTAATTAACTTTATACTTCGTCTTATACGTATCCGAACTCTAACTCCGGGAAATAGCGCATCTACCAATCTATCATCTAATATGCAGTTAACATGATGTGAATTTTAACAATAGACCGACATTATTTTTTTTTCTTCCCGCAAAATTTTGTCGTGAACTCGCGAAACATCATTCCATAATTTCATAAAATACGAATAATTTATCTTTCAAATATTCATTTTCCTCGCAGCAGCGAAGCAACTAAGTAATAACAACTAAAAGATGCACTGGTTTATAAGGAATGTTTGTGTTGTTAAGTTTTTGACGACAGTATAAACCACGGACTACTACGAATAACGTAACTTAAATAAAACACTCGTAGACAATTCAACATACACATATTTGGAAGCATCCTGAATATACTACCATATCATTATTTCAATATTTAACACCTTAACATTCCACTGAAATGAAATAAAGATACATTTTGATGTGCCACGGTACTCAGGGCTGGCTATCATTAGAGTAAATAATTCATTGTTTACAAATAATATGATATCCTATACAATATCGGTGGCTTTCACATTTAAAATAAGTTTCAAGTGACACTGGAATCGTTTTGGAATGTTAGGCGTTTTTAACCGAAAAATATTTTTCTAAGTACACTAATAGAGATGCATGTTTTACTTAATTTTTATTTAGATAAATTGAAACATCCATTACGAAATAATACACGCCTTAACCGCTACTTGACCTCTAAAACTTATAAATTAGCAATGAGATCTGTCAAGAAATATCAAAATATATTATAAATACTTATATTAATTTCCTTGTTCACAAAAATCCTTTTAAAATGTTCAGTCACTTTTTAATATATCGTTTCTTTCTATATTTCCGAATAAATTGACCGCGTTTACTTCTTATTGCAATTTAAGTTTTATATATGAATTAAATTTCGATATCACGATCCGTTGGTGTAAATACTAAATATTTAGAACCAATACCTGAGATAGAATTATACTCCCAAATGTTGCACTCTTACTTTTATATATCACAGATCTTTTCCTATATTATAATCATAATACTTTCCTTTGATAAATTTCAAAATAACCAGTTATTAGGTATGTTACTAATATTAGATATATAAAACATTTTAAACGCCTACATTCAAAAAACTATATTATTTTAAATAAAATTAATGATCATAGCCTAATAAATTTGACAATTTAAAAACAAATAACACCACACCGCATTTTTTATATATATACGACTGATATGTACCAAACGATTATGAATTTCTATCGACTAGTAGAATTAATTTTGTACATAAGGAAAATACAATAGTTTATTCACGTCTAAACTATATACCGTATTTTCAGCCCCGTGTACCGTCAGCAAATCAAAATGGTGTCAGTAAATAATTTACGAAGAAACTTACAGACTAAAGTGAGCCAACATTCAATCAGTTCCAAATCAAAGCTTTAATTTAATATACATTTTTTGGTTGTGATGTGTATATATAATATATATCTTATAAGATTATATGTAGGTACTTATGTAGTTATTGGTAGCAGCAGATGATATGGCTACACATTTAAATGTTGAAACAAAATGGTGTCATTATAAAATTAACTTTATGATTCATAAAATATCCCTGTATTTGACTCTGTTGATTTTATTGAACACAGTAATCGTGATGAATATCAAAAGATTTGTGTATTGAATGTAGTAATAACCAAGAAACAGTAAAAACCTGAAACGAACAAAATATTCTATTCATTGTTATATACCACAATAAAATACAAACAAAGCTTTTGATACACCCTTAACTAAACGACCTTGTTCTGTATGAAAATAGATAGAAACTTTATATATACATATCGTATTATATTTTATATTATGCCCCTGCTGTCAATGTCTGAAGTACTATTTTATTCTATTCTGTGAATAATATTATATCTCCAAATATGTATGAGACATGGACAAAGAGGCATAATAAATCGGACAGAACTGAAACATTGTTAAAGCTTTGATTCCCATAATCACACATCCACAACCCTCCCCAAGTTTCCCAAATATAGAACTACCGAAGCGTTTACATTCTAATAAATTTCCTAAAAATTCGATATTATCAAACTATATGTTATTTACATTTATATGTCGTAATATTGCTTTTGAATTACCTCAGGGGAGCGTGCGTCGTATTACGAAAGACATAAAATTAGTAAAAATCTCAAATCCCTAACTTTTTTACGATTAACTATATTGAGTGCAATTTTAGTATGGTCTCTAATAATTATAATTAAAGCACTCATTATCAATCTTTAATTTGGTTTATAAAATCAACTCTGAAATGATTCTACTAATAATAAATATGCAAGTCTCTAAAGATTAAGTCAGTTCTAAATTAATTATATGATATATTACAACTTTCTCCTATGACTGAAAAGCTTTGAAATGGCAACCAAACTTTGAGAGCTCAAAAAAAACTTATTTTTAGGCATTAAAACATTATCTTGAAAAGTAAGCGAAATAAATTTATAAGCGATGTCATTTCAAAGAAAAGTACAGAGAAGTTTAACTTCTCCTAGCTAACGTTGGCTATGCCGTCTATGGGTTTCATCTTCGAACAAGTTATCTATGTATAAAAGTCTAAAGCGTAAAGAAAGCACCTAATGTGGAACGTTAATAAAAAGCAAATAAAGAAACAAAACGACCAGCAAATAAACCGACAGTAACAACTTTAGTGTGTCAATTATCTATTAGTGAAATATCAAATATTATTCATATCATTCAGATCACAGATGCGGCGTTTACATCACATTCTTAACTAATTAAAACATATTGTCCTCCTTTTGTTCATACAACTATCACTTCGCATTCACCATTGACTACTTACTTAATCCAGTAATAGCTATATTGGTCATATCTTGTAAGTTCTGTACTCACTGCTCACTGAAATAATGTTCTAAGAGTATTGAAAGCGTTTGTTATTAATTATGGTAGTACTGTATTCTACTTTAATTATATCATTGATGAATAGGAAAATATTTCTCTTGATTATTATTCTGTAAGTTACTTTTAAAAATATATATAAAATAACTACAATTTTAACATATAATTCAAAATAAAGTACATTCTAATTTGAATGCATGAAACACTGGTGCCAGGAAGAACTGGAGTTATATGGAGCTCATGCAAATGTCAAAAGCTTTATAAATATAATTTTAGAATTTAGAGTGTGGAATAAAATTTTGTACTAATTACCCTATAAAACATATTTTGCTGTCAATATGTTGGGTAATAAGTGGTAATAAAAGCTATGAAACAGTTCTTACTACAAGTTATATCCAATAATAGCTTATACTCTTGGTTAATAAATTTTCATAGGCTAATTGTGTACTATAGCCGTCCAAAACTCATTGATGTGGACTTTCTTCTTCAGTGTCTACAGGACTCGGTGACAGAAATTTACGAGCGTACTTAGGATAGTGTGTTTTCTCGTGTGCTTTCAGTATGGTTGATCGGGAAAATGTCTTACCACACAAAACACACCGAAAGGGCCTTTCACCTGAAATAAAATAAATAAAAGAAATACATATTATTGGGTACATTATAAATAAAATGATATAAAGAAAAATTTGAAAATATTAGTGATACACCGATAAGAGTTGCGAGAGATAAGTATAAGAAAGAATCATGTGGGTGACATGACACAAGACACTGAGGAGAGTAGTACTCTGTAGAAATCAAAGACATGGTGACCATGAAACCGTACGAGAATTCTTTTACAAGATTTAGAACATTTTGTATTAAGCGCTTGTGCTAAATCTTGTGGTACAGGGTCATCATCATCCTCATACAATATTTTATATGGCATGTTCATCCAAGAAATGTAATGAGTAAATTCTCACAGCAACCATGATTTTTCTATTATTTTTATCTAATTTTCTATATTAGTAGATGTGGCTTAACTCAAGAATGAATACAACTTCATACTAAATATAATGATTAGTATATATTGAGGTGAGAAAGAGCCATATGATAAAAGCTAGATATTTGTTCCACTTTATCACACGAATTTCAGCAGTGCGAGATTTGTGTAAGTCGGAATTAAGATAATGATCATCATTATCATTATCATATGGGTTATAATCTAAATTTATTAATTCATAAATATAACAGATTACTTACCCGTATGCACTCTACAATGGTCCTTCATATGATGCCTCAATTTAAACGCCTTTCCACAGAATTCACACTTAAAAGGTCTATCACCCGTATGCACCGGCAAATGTGCTATTAACGATGACACATCTGGAAAACTTTTTCCACAAAATTTGCACAGCACTACGTTACCCGGCTCCATAGGCCCAATATCCAAATCTATAGGTGACTCTTCTGTTGGTATGTTCATATATGTGGGTTCACTGAACTGCCCAATCATAGGTAACCCCATAGGTCTGGCTAACATAGCGTCTCGATATTTCAAAGTATCCAACGTGTGCGTGGTCAGTATATGTCTTGCGAGTTTGCTCTGGTGAGGGAACGCCGCGCCGCAGTGTATGCAAGGGTAACCCCTGTCCCCCTCCTCAATCCTCACCCTACCGGACCCATCGTACTCCTGCAACCACAAAAAAGAACATCAACTTCTTATCTCTCTTGTTCTGTTTTATAAGGACCATACTGTGTGCAATATCGCTACCACTACTTTCTAAATTCAGATGCAGTCTCTGTATGTTTTAAATTTCCACTATCTAAGTAAGAAGTTGACGCTCATTTTTGCCCAAAAATGTGCAGGAGTGATGCGGGGGCCGGGAGCCGGCTACGTATAATGCCTTGTTGTATAGCAACCCGCGCGCGTACCGAATCATTGATTCGTACTAAACACGTATGCATGTATATGGCCAAGTTAAAAAAAAATAAAAACTGCCCAAAATATATAAACAAAATGAATGGATATAAAAAATGATGGCCAACAAAATGAAGGTCAACTTCTTGACAGCAAGGCATAGTACTGGATGTTTAAAATAGCGTAGCATATCAAACAAGCATGCAAGTAACAAATCAATATTCTTAACATTGATACCAACAACGAAATTTATAAATACAACAGACAGTAAGCTAGTCTGTCACAAAAATAAAAAATGAAGTATATTTCGGTTTTGGTTAAATAAACTGTTAATGAAGAAAATTATAGTAGGGAACCAAATAATTAATGTTAACTATTGTCTTCAAATCACCCTAACAAATGTGTATACTTATTATTTATTTGTAACTACACAGGTCACTTACTTATTTGAATAAAGGCAAAGAGAGCAATAAAATCAATGAGATAAATCTATTACATAGATATGAACCAAATTTAGATAAGAGAGTGTCAGTATTTGCATGATAGCTATTTTAATTAGTATAATCTAAAGCAAGAGGGCTAACTTGACGCATTTTACCGTAACAACATGCAAATTTGTTCGTTATTTACACCTACATTTAAGTTTAGGATATCATTGATGACAACATTTAGAGATAACATGCACCAAAATTAACATAAGTATTTTTAAAAAATATATTAATTTTTAATTTAATAACAAATATTTTTAACTTATGTACAATATAGGTAATTATGCAAATATGTGTGTAATAATAAATCAAATCAAATAAAAAAAAATCTCTTATTAATTTAATATCTATCTAGTATTTATATCCACATTTTATGTAGATGTATATTATTTCACTGTATCTCAATATATTACCTGACTTAAAAAATCATAACAAAGTCAAAACTGTATATTAAACATATATAGGAGTACACATGCAATACTAAACTAAAAATGATGGTACATAATTTGTTTTCTGATAACTTTTTTCTTTTTGTATATTAGAATTTCATGAAGACTGCTGGACTGATAATGATGAAAATTTTATAATATAGGTATTAAGCTATATATGAAAGGACATTCAAGCTGATAAACTGTTTAAAAATATATATCGAGGGGTTTAAATTATTATTTTCTACTCCATTTGTTGTAGAGTCAGCTCTAAGAAACAATAGATGATTTTGAAAATAATAATTAATATACATAAAATAATTAATATACACATTAAAAAGCCTTTAAGTACACATAAACAACAATGAATAATCTACAACATCTAATATTCAACATACACATACAGAGACATACATACCGATTCATGTTGCATCCGATAATCTGTTGATGACTCGCCTCCTTTCTCTTCATTGCTTCTATCCCAGTCCACTTCTTTTTTGAGTGACTGTAAGTTTGTTATTTAAAATTATATATCACAAATAGATAAATAAACAAATTTAATATTTTTGACTAGTCTACACAGATCATTAGGTCTGATTTATGTTGTTATTCAACCAACAGTAGATTTAATAATAATTTGTATTCATACATATTTTTACTTATAAATGTAAGGTCATAACTTTTATTAAAAGAGCAACAGACAAGTTTCTTTCTCATTCTTCATGTTCGAGAACTGTATTCCAAATGAGTGGTATATTAAAGAAAGTGTAACTATACAAAAGTACCTAAAATCAAGTTTATAAAATTAAAGTTTACTTATTTCTATTGTATTCTATAATTTTTCAATTTATTAATTCAGTACAAAGTCAGTCATATTTATTTTTAGACCTTCCTTTCCACCTTGTTTCTTGTTTGTAAAAAGAGCCTATAGATGTCATTCTGGCCAGTGTGATTTGTGCTTCGAAAAATACGTGTTTTAGTGAGTATATTATACTACTTAATGGTTTTATATTATTCTGTTAAAACACATTATATCTCATACATGCTAGTTGTAGTGGAATTAAACAAAATAATTTAAATCCACTTAGTAACAAATTAAAATAATAAATGTACATGATACTTACAAGGGGCACTTGTTGGACAGGTGGTAAACCAGAGGGTCCAGCAATAGGCTCGCTTCTGGGACTGGGTAATGATGGATGAGATGGATGAGGCAGACCAGGATGTGGTATACCACTGAGCACACTTAATCTCTGTTCCACTGGGGAATATCTTGAAGCAAGAACCCCACCGCTGTGACTGTTTATAGTCATGTTTAAACCTGGAAAGAAAAAGCAAAATAATCATACCAAATGTATCATATATCATAGTTTAATTTTTTTTTATCATTCTATAAATTGTAATGATAAAAAAAATTAAACTATGATATATGATAGAATATATAGTTATATGATCACTAATGATAGAATATATAGTTGAATAGATAGTTCTTAGATAGAAATAACTGTTTTAGGATCTTCAATTTGTTAATTCTATCTAAGATTTATTTTATAATAAATAATTACTTAATAAATTACAAATTACTAAGTATACCATCACAGTATATATCTATATTAAGTAAAAGTACTAATTATAGTGAGATATTTAGTAATTTATATAAATTATTTTTTAAATTATTAATCTAAAAATTCTTGAAAATAGCCCTTACATTTTCAGTGTTTTTTTTTTCAGCATAAAATTTAAACAATCAATATAATATTATATTTAGTTTTGAGAACTAGAATGTTTTTTTTAATAGTCCGACGAATAATGTGTATTAGTCCGGTTTAAAAATAAAGTGAATTTCTAAACTATTTATACTAATAAAATAGTTAGGTCTTGGCACTTCTTTTACTAAATACACAGGACAAAACAGACATAGACATTTAAATAAATAAATAAAACCTAAATAATATAAACAAATACTAAGTTTTAACAGTAAGATTTCCTTTACGAGGTTGTTTGTAAATTTCAAAATGAATCTATGCAAGGAAATTACTTGCTAAATGGTATATTATAAAGAAAGTATTTTCACAGTTTCATACAAAAACTATTTTGCAAAATAATATTGAGTTAAATGACAGCGTCGGTACTGGATTTAAACGAATTTATTTTTTTATTGAGTAGTTTTACGGCCCTGGATACATCCATTGAGAAAATATGTTGCCAAATGGTTGTTTAATAAAATGCTAAGGAGAACAGCTAAATTCATGAAAGAGTGCATTAATCTAAATTAAATTACTAACAAAAATTAATATGTCATGTTATAGAAATAAAAATAAATTTCGAACCATTTTGCTGATGTTTACTACAAACATATTTTCATTATGTCTTATATAATTTATTCAAAATAAATTTAATTAGCACCTAAAAGAAACAGGTTGCTAACACTGTATAGTCAGTTATCATGGAACAAGAGAATGAAATCAAGAAGAAAATCGTTGACAAAGGGCAATCATGGAACAGACTGTATACAGAACGTTTACATTATCGTGACATACGCAACGTTGATAGTATTCTTTTTTTTAATATTATTCTCTTAAATATGCGATTCATTTAGTCTCTTCAATTTACACTTAAATAACACCTCATGTTTAGTAGTAATGTAATGTAATAATAAATAGTAATCGTGCAGCAGCTAATTTTGTATTTCATATTCTCTACCTCTATTTATATAATAACTGACCTGATAAACCACAAAGAAATCTCACCCGGATTACGTAGGAGATAATTGGTACATCTGAGATTAGGATGTAAATAAAATTTATATAGGTATTTTATGAAATTATATCAATATCATAAAATCCGGATATCATTCCATTTCAGAGGAGTACAATATCAAAATCTGTGACACAACAAAAACGAGATTTATTATATAGTTATTAGATTTATCTACGTAAGCACGAGAAAATACTTAGGTAATCTAAATAAAATTATATTAGGTATATGTGTTTCATTAAAAAAATATTCCTAATATTATAATTAATGCTACTGTTGATAGCAATAGCTATTACAAAAATATAAAAATAAACTAAAGACGTAACGACGGGCAAAATAAAATATTTTGTCAGATGATCGGTAAAGTTGATGAAGCCGATATATCATCACAATAACGCTGACGACGACTAATCAAACAATCACTAACTAACATTCTTACATCTCCATCTATTGTTTGTTCAATGAAACATACTTATAACTTACCAATATTATCATTTTGAGCTCCATTTGATCTTAACGACACCGCATCGTCTTCAGGAGACGATGATCGCATTGGTTCGTCAGGTGGCTCATCTTTCGGAATAGGAGGATGCGTCAGTGTTGGTGTTTCACCTGGTACTTCTAATCTAAATCGTCGCACTGAAAGTAATGGGGATATCCGTGGGGGTGAAGCTTCGGGCGCCTCTCTCAAATCTCGTGAATCCCGATTATCACGTAGGTCCCTTGGAATTTCCCGATAATCTCGTGGTTCTCGAATATCTCTGGAATCTCGTAATTCTCTATGATCTCGGGATTCTCTCAAGTCTCTAGTTTCCCTCAATTCTCTGATATCTCTCAAATCACGGGATTCCCTATCCCGATGTTCTCGTGAATCTCTCGACTCACGTATGTCTCGAGAATGATTATCTCTTGTTTCATGACTATCTTTGGAGTCTCTCTCTCGGGATTCTCTCGTATCTTTCAATTCACGCCTCTCTTCTTTATCCCGGCTGTCTCTATTATCTATCCTTTCGTGGGGTTCTGAACACTCTTTGGTGTCTTGCGATTGGCACTGTTCCATTGGTTCTGAGACGTTTCTAGCCTCAATGCCAGCAGCACTTAATGTCGTCATTTCCGCTAAACCTTTTACCTGAATTATAAATTTTTAAACAATATAAATACAAGATAAGTCGAAAAAATATAAATTTCTAACATAAACAAATCTACCTATCAACTATCTACATATTAGTTATAAGATTATTACATAATCAACTACACAGAACATTTTTCGTTTCCAAATTTTAAAATTCTATTATTATTAAATGTTTTTTATAATAAATAAAAAAATAATATCTATTACGCAGGCATAAAGAGATTGAAGACTTTTTAGGTAGTGCTAATCTATAAAGAATATAGGTAATGTAAAAAATATTTTTAAGTCTCGTGGCGTAGTTCTTTGTAATCGGAGACTAACTTGCTGTCATCACAATGCAACGCCGACAATTGACAATGCATCTGACTACCCTGTCTAGGTTAACAGTCATGATTTATTCAGTCAGGTGTATAATTTATTTTATATTTATATTATTTTCCGATGTCCATTATGATAAGCAGTACCTACAGTATCAAAAACTACATAAATCATAATTGTCTTACTTGTAGACTCTCGGCAGTCTTGAGGAGAGCCGGTAGTTGACAGTACTGGACGTTAACTTCGCCCTTGTACATGAAGTCGACGAGCGTTCTCAGCTCCTCTAAGCCAACGTCCTTGAGTATAACTATAGGATGACGCGACGGGTGGTCCACGAACAGCGAACGGAAATACGATGAGCACGCAGATAGTACAACCTGAAATGTAAAGTATATTTGCATTGACTATTTATCCTACAATTGACACCGGTCTAGCTATTGGAAAAGGTTAATCATCTTATATAGACACGAACAGTAGCTACCTATGAGTACCTATATTATTTAAATCAGACTACGACTATTACTTTAAAATAGCTAATAATACTGGTCTCCCATTTCAAGATCGAGAAAAAAACTATTTATAATATAATATATATATTTTAAATAGTTTATTGACAATATAAAATGTTTTGCACAAGTGAAAATAGAACTTAGATTATGGTTTCCCGATAAAGCCAAGTAACATTAATTTTCAGGAAATTGGATGATTAAATTTCTTCTTTTTCGGCATCATTCCTTTATCTACCTAGCAATTTAACTATATTTGGGACTTTGGTAGGTATTTATATAAAAAAGTTCTTCGCATCATTTTTGCTCCTGCAACTGCGAAAGGAACTTAAGTCACATATCCGAAGTTTTTATCTAGCATCGAATAAAAATACATCTGCCCAATTTGTATTCCTTTTATTATTAGATAAGGTGTATTACAAAGTTAGCACTTTGTCCAGGCCCTATCTTTATTAGTTAGAAATATAAAATTAGAGAAAAAATAGTAGCAGGTACGAAAAAAAGCACGAGTTGTCGCACACAACTTTCTTAAAGCTATCTCTTCTTAATTATTATTTATTTATTAGGAAAACAATACAGTAACAAACAGTACAGTAAATTTAATGTTACATAACATATCAAATGCCGCGCTAAATCGCGAGCACTCCTGTTTACAGGACAAATAATGTGCTGAGTAAAGGCAGCCTTTCCCTAATGCCAGACTTTATCCAACTATTTAAACAATGGATATTCATTTCTCCGTCACAATGCAGTTACAATACCACTAATGAGCTCTAACACAATATATAAATTGTAGGTATAGTATAAATAAATGGGAGAAATTTTATATATTATAATAATTATAAACGTTTCGTGAAGGTATATGCCTACTACCAACTTAAATATGTAAATTAAATATCCATTTACGATACGATATATATACAATATTTAAAAAGATAATTAGGTTGGATTAACACTGAGTATTGGATATGAATACTGATATAAAATTATATTAATAAATTAAGAAAAGAAAATCTGAGGACCTAATAACGTAGATACATAATATTTTTCTACAATAAGTTTTTGCTTTACACGTACCGTAAACACACTGTAATTATCCAACTTGAAAGTAATCTTACATTAATAAATATGTATATGAGAAGACACCAATCCATTAACAATTTACATAATCATTGATATAATAGATACTAAATAATATAATTATTTTCGTATATTCCATAATAAATAATATAATCAATACTGATCTTCTTGTAATACTTATAACCAGAAGCAATTCTAAACCTAAATGTAAATTAAGTATAAGATATTATGAATCCTTTAATCTTATAGGCATTGTATAGGCATTGTATAGACATTATATATAAATACGGGTTACAGGGTTCATTTGTCAATTCGTCAGATGTCAAAAAGATGACAGCTGTTAAATCCGTAATAATTCGTATATAACATATCTCTTTTTTTTTAATGGATGATATTGGTATCATTCACGCGCCTGCGCTTAATGATTTACGCTGGCGGTGCACCAGTGGAGGATGATAATGTGAGCAATAATGAACATGTCGTCAGGTCGCATCGCCTGATTTATGAAGTTTTTTACCATTTGAAATAATAAATAGTCGTAATAAATTTAAACCTAATAAAATTCTACAATTTTAAAATTAATACAAATAGAATTTGAATTAGATTAGATATTATATGTTACAGGGTAAAATTATTAGGAATGTAGTACCTTATGAGCCCTTATGGAGGCACCTTCGGAGCAGGCAAGAGTGACGTCCACCAAACTCTCGTCGTGCAGCAACTGGCTGAAAACTCCCAGCAGGTTGCTCTGATGATTGTTCCACCTTAGGCAATAGTGCTCACTTCCCATGTCTGAGCTAGCTCCCGCCGCTGAAACAGATAATGTAAATAAATACATTGATTAATGTAATAGGTACACTATATTAGCATGTAGCTTTTGTTTAGTAGGAGACAGAAAAATATTTTTGAGTTCTAATCAATGTTCTTAATAAGGCCTAATTGTTGATTTTTTGTAAAACGTAAAAGGAATCGATAGGGAATCGTTGAATAAATATTTAATAAAATTATTACATTAGACTTTAGCATATTTCCACTCAGCTTTTTTAAAATCGGACATAATACCACTTACACTACTTTGTATTATTGAACTACTTACATTCTCCTTAATCGAAACATAGCGCAATTTTTTTATTAAATTTTAAAACAATATATAGACAGTAATTATTTATCCAGCTACTCAGAACGAGATGTACCCTGATACCGAATGACTGTATGAATCAATGTATATCCTAAATTTAAGTAAATATATAATTTTATGACATGGACTGCTGATCTGCGGATCTGCTGAGAGAGGTCTTTATTTTTTTTTTGTACTACTATATTGGCAAACAATTCTCAAAGAAACGGAATCGAGTAGAACAAATAACAGACAAACTCACAAACAGGTATACGAACGTGAGAAAATTTAGTTTCATGTTTAAAACAAATATATATTTTTAGAATTACTAATAGCAACAAATTTTTAATAAGTTGTCGTAATTGTGTAAGTATGTGACAATATATTTTCTCTGTACGAAAAAGCTATGGACTTTAAATAGTCGTATGATAGTGTAAAATTACTTATTTAAAAAATACAGATGATAATTATATTATTAAAAATCTTTTTTCTAATTAGGATGTTTATTAAAAAATCCTAATTTAAAAAAAATAAGTATTCATAGAGGTCTGATATGATACATTGCTAGCAATGGGATCATCAGATCAAACTACTAACAATCTGTTCCTCCAGTCTGGTATGTCACTAATCATTATTATGTACTATCCAATAATAAGTCACAAACACAAACATTTCAAAATAATATATCAAAGCAGAAAGAAAGCATCAAGAAAGCATCAGGTTCTTTTGCAAAAGAACCTGATGCTTTCTTTTTATTTCTAACTTTAAATATGTAGTTATTAAACATTCTCATAACCGAGTAATCATATTGTTACTAGTTTATGCAAATTTATTTCAGAGTAAAAAAGAACCTTGAAATTCTGCGAAAATTACGTAAAAGATGTTTAAAGCATCTCATTCCAATAGAAGGCATAGCACGTGTAAGTTTGATAACAAAGAAAACCTGTAAGTGTACGTTAGTTAGTTAAACTCAAAGTCACTTATCAGCATACAATTGAATATGTAGGTACTAACGATACATTATCATTGTACACACCTATTGGTGGCGATGATTAACCAATATCAGGAAGATTATACATATTAATATAAGCACACAAGATATACATTGCAAAGAAAAGAATCTTTGATGAAATCGTATTAATATTCATATACCTAATGTTATTGGTTAAAAATTAAAATCCCTTACTTTTCTCGTCTTCATTTTGGAGTAATTAACAGGTATTATTTTGAATATTTGTGTAATGTAATAGTTACATTTTCAAATATTTACTAACGTGAACTATTATAAAATATTCTGGTAGTTCGACTCTTTTTGAACATATTCTATTAAAAATAAATAGAATTCAACGTCTATATAATAATCTGTAAAGTATCAGTGAAGCTTCTAGTTGTTCCATGATTTATGTAGAGTAAGGTACCTGGTTAATTAATAAAATACCTTATTTTATTAAAATCAAAAAGGCTGTTATGTATATGATAACAATCCACTGATAGTCAATAACACTTACTTTTGATTTATTAGTTAAAATATTAATTTTTCTATAATACTATGCATACAGTAAAATAATGTAATATATTAAGTAAATACAGTCATTTCAAAATAGGATAAATTTTGTGTACCTACCTTTACATAAATGACAAACAATAGCCATCTTCTTTAAAAGACATTATATTCTCCAGTGAACTTGGTAAAATTAGGCATTGCAAGCATCCAAGGCGTTAATTACAGCTTTTACAGTACGTTCAACAGCCGGAACTGTCAGATTTGCTAATGAGAACAAAACATCAGTACGATATTATTTCATATACTCTGATTATAGTTTCGCGCGTCCACGCGTGTTGATAAATATAGACGTATGTAGCGTTTAGGTGTAGGTGTATATGCGAACACGCGTGTGCGACTCAGGCGCAGTCAAGATCAAGGGCGCGCGATTGCGCAAGAGTTGGCGGTCGCACCGCGCTGCAACTCTGTGTGATGTCATCGGGCCGTCTGTGCCCCCCTCCCACTACCATCACACCCGTTTCATAAAGGCCGCGGACGCGGAACATTCTATTTTTGACCGTACTGATATTGCGTGGCCATAGCCTACCTGTTCGTAGTCGCGCCACCATCTAGGACCTTCTGTGGTTCTACGGCTAATGATGCCATTAGAGGCTGGTTTCGATATAATAGATTGTTGATTTATATTTCAAACTAGTTACAAAAAGAGCAGCTTCTCTGTAATATATGTTTTAAATATACATATCTATCTTACGTTAGATCTTTTCGTTCAAAGCTGACCGGATTTTGATGATTCTTTTGCTAGCCGTATGATTAAGATAGAAACAGGGCAGCTAATACATATATTTTAATTGGCTACTATTTTTTACATAAGTATAGTTAGTATATTATGAATGATGGGATAATTTCAGTACACTTTAATTACAACATTATTTTAAAGGTACAAAAAAATATTTTCAAAATGGACTTCGTATACATTGTGACATCCGCATCATGCGGCACATTATTCGATGAAGAGATGCTTCTTAGACTTTAGTCTTCTTATATTTCATTTTTCTTTAACTGCATCTGAACATAATGTCATTATTTTATAGTTTATTGAAACATTAGATACATATTATTCAGTACAAACAAACATATCCTATGTTATGATCCAACACCATCTAGATAATCACGTGCCTCAAAAACCTTCACACTCTTTGATATTTACTCATTACATAAAATAATATTACTACATACGGGGAATAACAAGAAAACAATATTTATTTTAGCAATCCGTACCTCAAATGGAATGCTGTGCCTCTGTTTATCTGTTCTTTTTTGTGATAAAGGTATTAAGTTACAATTTTAACCAATAGTTTTTAACCGCCCTTGCGTTCAAATCCATTGAAGCAAAATCATTTCACGATACAAAAAATAGCCTATGTTCTCTATCTTATGTATATGTATGCACATAATAATATATACAAAATTTCATGACTATTTGTTTTTAATTCGTAAATGTGTCATAAGGTAACAAACAAGCAAACCTACTATGAAGTCTATAATATTAGTATTAGTACAGACTAGCTATATATGTACATCCGCATCGGCATCGACTTGATGTATGTACAGATATACCATAGGATGCTAAGTGAATGTCTAGTGCAAATATTAGCAATAGAATTATTGAAATTTGATGAATAGTTTTTAATATTTTATTTACAGTACATTACAGTTATAGTTTCATCACAATAACTAACATTCAATATGATCACCAATAAAACTTAGTAGGGAAGATGGACTCAACTTTATATTTATATTTATAGTAGGTTGAAGTTCGAGTGGGATTACAAAAGTATAGATATATGCATACGTTTGGTATTATGCAGCTAGAAATTTCAGAATTCAGCGCTATCCTGTTTAAGTTAGCCATAGCAATGAACCGAAAAGAGTAACAGCCAAATATGGTTCCATCGAAATGCAAGTGGCTCCGTTCTTTAATAGATTTAGAACACGAGCCTACAAATCAGTTCTAACATTTTTACAGTACCTTAGGTAGGTACTGTAAAACTGACACGTAATCAAAATGTTTATATTAGTTTCAGTTGATATTTAATAATGTTCAAATAAATGTCATATGTAGCATAGCAATTTGAATACGTCATAATCATAATGCAATTGAGAATAATGGGCAAGAGATTCTGTTGGTGATGAAACATACGGTATAAAGATTTACATATTTATGATGTTATGTGAATTATCTCATCCTTATATAAATAATGAAAATAAAAACTATTCGTTTGTAACCTTTATCGCGCTGGTACTACAGTTTTATAATAAATTATACAGCCTCTAGAGTTTTTAAGGATTATTAATTTGGATATTTGTGTATCATAGAATGTATGTATATAATGCTAGCTATATGCAGAATATGAATAAACCTAGGAAGGAACCGGTAAATCTAAACAACATATTTTAATGTAGTATATCGCTGTGCGTGACCTTCATCACACAATAGTGATGCTTGCGTTTATAAAGGAGTGAACACATTCATGCCAGTGGCTATAGTCATCGGTGACAATAGTCATAAAGATGTGTATTAGTATAAGTATATGTTTAATAATTATTAAATCTTACTAACAGTAAATCTTACTACAGTAGCGCTATCTTATTAAATCTTACTAACAGTAGAAATTTTCTTAACAACTCAGCACGTGTCACGAAATCTATACTAACACTAGCTGTCCCGGCAAACGTAGTTTTGCCTTAAAATAAAAAAAAAATTTAGGTGTGTATACCCCTAACATTTGGGGGGATGAAAAATGGATGTTGGCCGATTCTCAGACCTACTCAATACGCTCACAAAATTTCATGAGAATCGGTGAAGCCGTTTCGGAGGAGTATGGGAACGAAAACTGTGACACGCGAATTTTATATATAAGATTATTAAAAGTAAAATTTGTGAGTTGGAGCTCGAGGCGCTCTCCAGTTCTAATCATGATTTTGAAAATATTTTTTGTGGTGGATAGCATATATACCTATATATAACACATTACGCTACCAATAGAAGCGGAGATGAATTGAAAACGATGCGAAATCGGAGAAACTTCATAATTTTTTGAACAAAATAAGACACGATATAAATTATTTATTTATTTAACTTCTTTGCATAGCATAAACATTATGAGATTGTTATCGAAAGTACTCAAA